AATATAATATAATATAATATAATATAATATAATATAATATAATATAGTTCAAGTTACATATGATCTTTGCTACATTTAAATAAAATGTAACTGATGCAAGAGATTACTGACAGTTTAAGGAGACTGACAATAAATACAGCGCTGATTGTAACTATGGCAATTACGTTTTTGATTATAATTTTCTTGAGATGCTTGATGTTGAATGTTTATTTCCTATTTCAAGTAAAAGAGTTGATGAGTATTTTTAAAATATTTCACATAAAACATACTAAAATTACTTTGGGGACTTTGAGGACTTTCAGAGCAAATCAAACTAAAAGACTACGTGTGATTAAACATTTCATTTAACATTTCACTTGATTTTTGTTTTACAGCACAAACACAAAAAACACCAGAAGTATAACAGCTCTGCATCAAACACATTTATAATTTTATTACCATCTTGTACAGAGTTTTTAATATGGTGTAAGATTGTCTTGAAAGAAAGTTTCATGTTATAGCAGCTTACAGGAAAATATGTCTTTAAAGGGCGCATCCACTTAGAAATATGATTTTGATGCATACTTCACTTCATGACATCTGCGCAGATGTTGTTCGTCTGCTTGCTTGAACACCTGCAGCTTTTATGACATCACAGCTATTTTTCAGTCACTTGGGTTCGAGCTTTAAATGTGAAACGTTTAGGTTAAAGAAGAAATAAATCTCAAGTTAAGCTGGCCTACATGCCCCCATGGCACAGAGGCAGGCTGTCCTTAATTCAAGGACAATAGAAGGGTAAAAAGTAAGTTGTAATAATGAATCTTTAAGTCATGCTTTATCTGTATTTTCAATTTTAATAATGTAAAATATATATGGTTAGATATTTAATGATATGAGGTGCGTCAGATTTTGACAAGCTCTAGAGGTTTCTGCTTACTAATGAGAAGTTTTTTACTTTAATAACTAATAACTCTTTTTTTAAACTATTCTTCATTAGGTCAAAAAATGTTGTTACATGTGTTTCCCTGTGCATATTATTAGTATAAAAGAGATTATAAAAAACTTTCCGATAACCTCGACATTCATGGTATAAATTTAGGAGTGGCAGAGAAGTACATGAAGGTTGTGCAGAGGCAGCGCTGAGGTGTGCAGTAAGAGTGACACCAAGGCTCAACTCTGAGCTGCTTCTTGTTTGCAGTGGTGATGAACAGGCTGACAGATGAGGTCAGACAACAGTCTCTGTGAACTATATGTTTGCACATGATACTGTGACCTGTAATAACAGCAAAGAGCAGGTAGAAGAAAGCCTGTAAGTAAAAGGAATGAAATGTCCTGGTATTACAGCACACATCTGTGAATGAGAAAAAGGTATAACAGTGAAGCTGCACAGAGCACAGGTGGTGAAGGTGGATGAGTTTAAGTACCTGGGGTCAGCCATCCAAAGCAGCAGTCAATTCACAGGAGAGGTGAAGAGGAACGTGCAGACAGGTGTGACAGAAGGACAATAGCAGGAGTGAAAGGGAACGTTCATATCCACCAAATCAAAACACACACACACACAAACAACTAAATTATGCTGAAAACACAGTAGACACCAACAAAACCACATCACTGCTGTCAGAGCACATTCACCGACCAAACACAGCCTGGCTAACTGCTGCAGCTGTGCAATGGTTTCTCAGGGGAAATGGGTGGCAGAGGAGTTCAGGGAAGAGACAGGACACAACTACAGGCACACAGGGCTGAAACTGTGTTTGGATCAACAGTTTTTATTATGGAAGGTATCAACAGGAAGCAAGCATTCTCGCTGGGTGAACAAGTGTGTTTCCTGTATTTGGCAAAGACAGAATCAAAGAAAAGATAGCGTACTGCAATGTACAAGAAAGGCAGTTTTTATTTATGCATTTTTAGCTTTGCTGATGCTAGAATCTAGCAATAAATCTGCCAGCAGAAATGGTGGGGAAAGAAAAAGTAGTGCCACAAAGCAAACACCTTTACAGCAACAGCTTCATTTGGCCGGACTGTGAGAGCGCATGGATACTGAAAAAGCACAGCCTTTAAATCACTCTTAATTCAAACACAAGTTAATTAAAAATCTCAGAAACTTGGCCGTTGTACATGTAAGCTCACTGTTTTCAGTCACTGCACAAAAAAGCACGTTTATTAAACTGTGAGGTGGGGTGCAGATATTCTTCTGCGTATGATGTTCAAAGATGAGGCTTAAAAATGAGGGGAACTGAAGAAGAGCAGAGAAACAGTCTGAACAAGCAGCCAAGTAAAGCCAACGACTAACTGGTCGATCCTCACTCCTGACATTATTTCCTTCTGCGGCTCCGTGGCCTTGGTTCCTTCTTCCGGTCATCTCCCCGGCTGATTCCACAGTAATAAACCGCCGAGTCGCTCTGCTTGGAGCCTTGCACCACCAGTGAGCCATCGGCCGCTATAGAGACTTTACTGCGGGGAACACCGTTGCCGTATTTCAGTTTGAGTCTATCCATAGACCTGAAGGAGACAAGGAGCTGTGGTCCCTGTCCTGGTGCTTTCCTGTACCAGCTGAGGGTGGTGGGCGCGGTCGGGGCAGTGGTGGTGGTGAGCATGGTGAAATTGGAGGTGTCCAGCAGAGGGCACTGCAGGGTGGCATTCTCTCCAAGCCTCACCTGGATGGTCGATGAGGGGTCGACAGCTGCATGGTTCTGTAAACCTTTACATGAACAACATCAAAGCGTTTCATATTCCTCACATACTGAAATGTTGTGTAAAGTGATATGAACACGTAAAAAAAGCTTGTACCTACAAAGTGAGTGTTAAAAATAAAAAATTAACATGGGAAAAAATGTTATAACATGTCATAAAATCAGAAATGTTTGGGTCCAGATTTGTTGAATAAATGTTAAAGAAGAAAATAGCTTAAAAATTAAAGTATGTTAAAAAAATCTCAAAATATTACCATTATGATCAAAAACTTTAACCTTTTGGAAACGTATTAAAAAATGTGCCTGTTTTCTTTGCATTCAACTTTAAACAACATCAGCGTTTAGTTTGTTTGACCAAGATTTAAAACAGAGGAAAACCTTCTAAATTAATTTTTAATGAATGTTTATTCAATCAAACCTGTAAGTCTGTAAGCCAATAAACATTTTCTCTTTTGCACTCTAATCTCTTAATCCTGCACACAGGAAGCTTCATTTTGAACAGATTTTCACCATAAAATCCTTTTAAATTGGCCTAAAGTGGCGAACAGAGCTTCAGCCTGTCGACAGCGTCTTCCTTAAACATCCAGTTTTAAAGTCGGTGAGTCAGTGAAGTGTGAATTTGAATTCATTAATTGACGACAGAAAAGACAGAAAGTAGAACTCACCACTGAGAGCGAGCAGGATCACCAGCAGAGACTCCATCATCAACTGACTGAGGAAGCTGCTGCTGCTGTTAATGAAACCAGCAGAGTGTTTCAAAACAAGACTAACGGATAACAACACATGGCTCAGTATGTGAACGCTGGATGTTTTTCCCTCATGTGAGACCTTTAGTTCTCATGTATGTAAATGTGGTAACACTTCATTCATATGTTAGCTACATTTTAAAAAAATGCTGAAAATTTCAAAATATTTCAAAGAAGGTTTTGTACTAATCAAATTCAAATTTCAAATTCAAATTTTATTTGTCACACACACACAACCATACACAGTATGACATGGGGGTGAAATGCTTGTAGCTGTACAATGCCCGACCATTAAATGACAGAAGAAAAGTTTTACAATATTTACAATTTACAGTTTACTACAAAATTTACAAATTAACTTAGGAATTTACAGTAAAGAACGTGCAAATAGCAGAAGAGATTATAAAGATAAGGATTATAAATTATAGGAATTATAGGATTATAGGAAATGTGTGGTGGTGCGTGTGGTGACGTGTGTGAGAGTCCAGTCTTATAGTGACGTGTTTGGGAGAGTCCAGTCCTACACCTGGTTCAGGCCCCGAATAGCCTGGGGGAAGAAGCTCCTCCTCATTCTCTCTGTTTTGGCCTTAAGGGAGCGGAAGCGCTTCCCAGACCTCAACAGTGAGAAGAGTCCATTGTTGGGATGGGAGAGGTCCATCATAATCTTCCTAGCTTTGGACTTGCACCGCTTGGTGTAGATGGACAGCAGGTCAGGGAGCTCTGATTGAATGATGCGTTCTGCCGAGCGCACCACCCTTTGCAGATCAGAAGAGACATACTTTTAACATTTAACATAGTTAGGTCCAGATATATTTGGACACTGACACAAGTTTGTTTTTTTACCTGTCGACTGAAACATATAATGGACATGGACATAACTGTCAGCCTTCGTTTGGGGCTATCCACATTTCAGTTCGATGCAGGGTTTAGGAGTTTCAGCTCCCTAACATGTGCTACCCTCTTTTTAGAGGCGCCGAAAGTAATTAGACAACTGACTCAAAGAATATTTCATGGGCAGCTGTGAGGAATTCCTTTGTTATGTCATTATCAATTGAGCAGATAAAAGGCTTGAAAGAGTTGATTTGAGGTGTTGTGTTTGCATTTGGAAGATTATGCGGTGAACAGATAACAGTCAAAGGAGCTCTCCATAGGTGAAACAAGCCAATCTGAAGCTGCAAAAACAGAAAAAAGCCCATCCGAGGTATTGCTACAATATTAAAGGTGATAAAAACACTAAGCTTTGGTTCAGTCAAACCCCAACCCATTTGACCTTAGAACTGAAGAAGCTTCTCGGATGAGAGGTGAAACGTCTTCAAGCAACTTAAAGAAGTCCAGACGCTTTTCTTTCCAAGCTCCTTTGACTACGATGACCTGGATGACTGAGAACCTTCACAGACATGACAGCATATATTGCTCTGCACACCTTTCAGATCATGCTTATCCAGACGTGCAAGCTGCCAGTTCCATATGCACTAATGCAGCGGTCTCCAACCTTTTTTGTGCCACGGACCGGTTTATGCTCGACAATATTTTCACGGACCGGCCTTTAAGGTGTCGCGGATAAATACAACAAAATAAAACTAGTACCGGTACCGAAAAAAAGAAGATTTATTCATAACACAGGTGAAAAGACCCAGGAAAACCGAGTTAACGATAAAACGATAACAAAATAACGCTGAAAACCGATAAAAACCCTGAAAACCAGACATTTCACACCTGAGCCTCAACTCTCGCGGCCCGGTACCGGTCCGAAGCCCGGGGGTTGGGGGCCGCTGCACTAATGCACCCCTATACCAACATAGATACGGGCTGTGGACTGAGTGCTGATAACAAGCCATATGGTCTCTTTCTCTGACTTTTACCTCGATGGATGCAGCATGCATGTTTTACAAACAGAACTACAAATCTCGATTCTTCTGACCATAGAACAGGTTTCTACTTCCCCACATTTTAAACGAGCTTTGGCCCAGAGAGGAAGGACGCATTTCTGGATCATGGTAACAAATGGCTTCTTCTTTCCATGATAGAACTTTAACCTGCACTTATCGATGGCATGGTGAACTGTGTTCACAAACAATGAAGTGTTCTGGAGCCCATTCAGTCATTTTCACCACAGAATCATGCCTGTTTTTATTGCAGTGCCAGCTGAAGGCCCAGAAACTGAACGAATACACAGATCACTGTTGATGGTCACAATTTTTTTAAATATAATTTTAACAGAATTTTGTTAAATGATCACACTGTATAAAATAATACCATGAATAATTATTGAACTCTTGTCTGTGTTGGGAGTTTGAAGGTGTAGAGTATGTGATCTTCCAGCAGGTGGTGCTGTGAAATCATCACTGCTTCGGAATCAGTCCGAGGTATGAAATCATGAGATGATGAAGCCTCAAAGGGCACACAGGGACTGGAGACTGTCACAAGCCAAAAACAACTTGTTTCAAATCTGAGCTTGTGCAAGGGGTTGCACAAATCTCTCCTCACAAAGCGACAGTACTTCACTCACTGTCTGACATGCTGGATTCTTATGCGTTCTGTTAAACTGAACCACATTATCTCATTAGTGATGTCTTAGTGTCAGCAGTAACACAACGCTGAACAAAACAATTAGAAACAGAAATGAAAACTTTGGTTGCATTTGGACAACACAATCAGCTGCAGAGCACAGCACTGCTTTTATTGGTAAGCTGGAATATGAAGCCACTAACACACAGCCAGCAGGAAGTGTGACAACATGACACTGTTTTAGTTTACCTGACTCACCCACACATTCACACACACATTCATCCAAGCACACGCTCACACTCCTGGTGGATTGGGGGCATTTCAGGGTTCAGCAACATTCAAGGTTGCTTTGGCAGACAGGGAGAGCTCGGGATTGATGAGTAGATTAGCTGCTCTTCCTCTTAAGCCTCTGTTTTTGGTATATCTGCTGCTAACATCAGCACCACTGTTCCTGGTTTGAATTAGCTCACTTTGCTGAGACTGCTTTTGCACTAAACTTTAAACGTGTTCATTTGTGCTGTAAAGTTTTGCATTTGAAAATCAGAGTCAGTGGAGATTGATTCACTTTTGACACCAACACCAAGCGGCCATCAGAGCGACTGTGGATGTGTGGCACTGATGGGCTCATCTCGTTTCCAGGAAAGGGAGGAAAACAACCTGAACCTTATTAGAAACTACATGTTAAAATGCATTTAGATTTCAAAGAAGGTTTTAAAGAAGTTTAAAATTGTAGGTTTGAGTTGATGCGACCATGTCTCTGACTGCCACGTTTCTATCATTGGTTAATACTGCTGCACCATCAATAAATAACAAATACAAGGCACTTGATTCATAAGACAAAATTCACATTTAGATTATCCCAGAGTGACGGAGTACAACACCATGTATCCAGTACTCTCATCATATGGAACCAGAGGGTTAATTGAATTTAAAAAATGCAATCATGGACATATGATATTATATAGTATTGCCGTGCTGTGTGAGAGTGCGGTTAACCCCTGACCTCATCTGAATGCACAGCACTTCCTCTGTTTGGACAGTAGAAAGGAGGGTCAGAGGTCAGCTGGCTGTCTGCCTTCAAGCCAAAAACATCAGATCTGAGAACAGAGGAGTGTTTTCTTTCTCTGTTCTCATGTTTTCTCTGCATTATTGGGTCTTTACCTAACAACACGAAGCCCCTCGAGGAGACCGACGTTGTGATTGGTCCTATATAAATAAAAAGAATTGAATCGGTTCACAAATCTTTATTTGGTGGCAAGAAAGTGATGCTGATTAAACATTTCCTGTTGGTTTTTGCTGCAGCTTTGAAGGTTTGAAGAATTCAGATAGTTTTGTGTTTGCAGGTGGTTCATATTTTAAGGTATACACACCATTTGGCTAAAGTGATAGCTACTCTGTTTCTTAGTTTAAACGGTGATTTTGAAAACCTGCATTCAGGATGGCAAAATGAGAAAAACATACGGTAATTTTAATGAATGATTTATCAGTTTCAGCTTCTCCAAAGTGAAAGGTTGGTGCTCTCAACTGTTCTGCATCCTTGTATATTTAATATTTTTGGAGCCCTAAATGAACTAAACCTGTGAATGTAAATATCTTTTTCATGGTAACTAGTGTAACTGAATTGTAGCTATCGAAGCATGCAGAGGTCCACAGCATTGTTAAACTTGACTTCCTTTGAGTCTCGATTTCTATAAAAGAAGTAAAAACTGGACTGTAGCTCTGATGTGACTAAATGAGTCGCAGCTCTCGTTTGAAAACTAATTCTAATGGGACAGTCGATTGGTGTAAATTGTAGAGAAACATATTTTATATTTTTCAGTCGGTTTTCTCTTTTTAACTGAAGGATACACAAACACCTGCAGAATAATAACAATGGGATTATTTTGCAGTATGAAAATGTGCATGTTAAACGAAAGCATCCTGTATAATGAATATAATTAAAGGATTGAAACAAACCAACCTGGTTGAAAATGAGCTGAAATTGTACAGCAACCGATTTTGTGTACAGCTGTCGCTCCTCATAGATGCACTCAACCACCCAGCACTATGGCAGCTGTGCTGATGAACAGGCATATTTATCATTGACAATGATGGCAGAAAGCCACTGTTTCCTGCTCACTGTTTTTCTCTGCTATTTATGGACTTGGCCCAGGACACCTTCACTACACTAACTGTTTATCTGTCGGAGCAGTTAGCAAACACAGAACTAAAGGCAGAGGTCAGTGCATTATTGTTTGGACAGGAAAATGAATGTTATTTCCAGTTAGATTTGAAAAAAGAAGCATTTTTATTTAAGCTGTAATGCATTTTGTTTCTAAAATCTCTTTAAAGCTCTCCCATCAGCAACAATAGTTTGGTGTTTTCCAGCTGTGAGCAGCTGGTCCATTTACCAGAAGTCAGTGTTGTTTGGTCTTAAGGCTCTTTGCTTTCAGTAAGTCTCCCTGTTTCATCTATTCTGCAGA